TCTGCAGATCTAATAGAATCTTTCCTTAAATTACAGCCAAACTCATTTACACAGTAACAGATAAAAACCTTTAGATAAACCAAACACTACCGCCACATATCTGACTCAATAACCATTAAAACAACTATTTTCATTAATCTCAGACGGAACTATTAAATGTCTTGTTTTATATTAAACTGAACTTCCAATTTTCACCACTGTTCGGCGCCAAGTAATCTTTACTCTGATCACAGCTTGCTTGGTCTCACAATGAATCCTGGGATATCCAAGAATAACGAGGATACATCAGACCCGTCCTTCAAATCGGGCAAAAAGAAGGAAGCATTTTAAGGCCGCATAACGAGGACTCTTGGAATCCGACCAGACCTCAGCGCCGCGCTATGACGTAATCGGCCTTCGAATCCAGTCTTCTAAGGATGCGTCCTAGGTTTTCGAACAGAGCCAGTGACTGACTGGATGTCAGTATTTAACAGCCATCAGGTGCTTTCAATTAGCAGCCCTTCTACTTTCTTCCTGAAAAGAACAAAAATCAAACAGTGAAATGGCGACACCTACTGGACAGTAGGGGATTGTCACAACGTAACCCCATAAAAACCAAAAACAGTTGAAAAACTATTATTTTTGAATTAGAAAATGACTAACACCTTTCATTTTGCTCATCATTGCCCAATTTGCACACTTTCCCTGTCTGCTTGAGCTTATTTTTACTAAATTGGCACAAAACAGTGTACCTTATATGATTTTTTATTTTTTTAAAGAGTTGCAAAAATCACAGATTATATTGCTTACTGTAGCTATGCACTCTGCCAGTAGGTGTGACATGTTCACATGAAGCTTCATTGACTGGAGATCGTTGAAGCAATTAGCCAAAATGGTTCAATGCCTCATTGAGACTTCATCTCACCATCACTAAGCAAAAATTCACTAACAAAATACTGAAGACCAAAAACCCAGTAGATGTCAGGGAAAACACACATCAGGGCAAAGAAATGAAGAGCAACCAGCAAACAATAACTGAAGGGGATGGGTATATATATACTGTATGTCAAACAGAACAAACTGGGGTAATGAGCTGTTTGGGAGCAGGTGTGGACAGAAGAATCTAAGAGGGAGCTAGGGGAAGGAGACTGACACAAGAGGGCAGCAGAGTCTAAATAAGAAATATATAGAACTCAAATACAACCAGACAACGATACAAAATGGAAATGAAACATATGAACACTCAAAAAGAAAATAGCAAAACTATGACAGTATGTAGCTTTTTATTCTATGTATTCTGCTTTATACCCATCAGTAATTTTATTTTATTTTTGTATTTATTAGTTTTTTCTTTTCTTTTTAATAGGACTATTCTGAATTTGATTCCTCTATTTGGATGTGTGATGTGAATGGATGCGTAACGCTGTTTGATTCCATTAAACTGTTTGCGTTCTCACTGATACACCAGAGTGCTACTCTGTGTCCTTGAGCAACATTCTTAGCTATCTAGACCAGTGTTTTTCAATCCTTGTCTTCAGGGCACCCTGCTCTGCATGTTTTGGATGTTTCTGAGGTTCAGCAAACCTGATTCAGATGATTGCAGTTCAGCAGTGCCTGATAATCTGCTATCAGTTTATAACAGGTGTGTGAAAGCTGGGAAACATCTAAAACATGCAGGACAGTGTGCCTTGAGGACCAAGGTTGAAAAACACTGATCTAGGCATTGCAGGTTGCTCACCACTCCCTAAATAATGGGCTAAATGCATAGAGCAAATAGAGCAAGTTTTGTCGGAAAGTGCAATTTTTATGGCTGCACAGAAGAAGACATATGTGGATAGTGTTGGGGTAATGTTCTAATCCAGGCTTGGGGTCATAAATCAACTCTTTTTATGTTTTGCTTATTCTAAAACCTTTTCTTTCATCATTAAAAATGTCATGATCTTGCCACCAATGTGTGGCTTCATTGCTCATTTCTTTCAGCTGTCTAACTGCCTGGTTTTTCTTCATTGCTGAACTGACCCACCTGCTCCTGCTTCTATTTATACAGCTTGGTCACAGCCATCAGTACCAGATTATTTTTTGAGCCTTTGGTGTGAGAGTTTTCTAGCTTAATTTATAGTGTTCTGATTGCCTGATCCTCACCTATTTGTTTTCGGACCTTTGAGCCTGATCTGTTTGTCTGACCTGTCTTCGGATTCTGCTGGATTCTATGATGGACTGCACCTGGATCTTCCTCTTGACTTTGAGCTCTGGATTATCCAATTTTCCTCGAGCATCCGCTTGGATCTGATCTCTTGTCTGTCAGTCCGGTGTTCAGGCTTCGGCATATGGAAGTATCTGTGAGGCAAGCGCTGCATCTCATCAGCTGACTGGCTGTTATCTACCACGTTCTCTGGGCATGGACTGAACTCTAAACCAGGTTAGTTACTCATGCGTTCATCCTCTGTCAGGTTTTTGTGGCCAGAGTTACCTTTCTCGGACACCTTAGTCGCTGCTGTTTCAGATCCGCAAACCATCCATTGTTGCTGTAATAAATGCTTTTTAAGTTATCCTACTGTCTCGCTGTGTTTTGAGTCATTACAATTAATGCTATATCATTTGTTGTCAGTAACTTCAATACGACTCAATGTTTTTTGCTTTTACCTTCATTTTATTGAAACAACAATACATGTTTTTATCCCTAAATTTTGTAAGACCACTACATAACATTATTTAATCAATAATAGTTTCAGGTGACAAAACAACAGAAACAATGACAGACACAATCTGAACAAAGTTATTCTGTTTTCGACAAGACAAAAAACAAACTGAACAATAAAAAACACAGGACTAAACAGTAAAACGATATATGTAGCATTATATTAGCATATTACAACATGTGTATAAATGAACAAATAGCAACATCTGTTTTCCTGAGAACCAACCACTAGGGCGCAGCTGCTGTTTCTACTTCTGAGATGCTAACCGTGATAGCTGATGGCAGCCCTTGTCTAACCAGTTCTTCTTTTATCTGGAAAGGAAAACACAAAGTGACTTGTTATAAATATGACAGCTTTCTATTTTATTCTAAAATCGTAAGCTGTATTTGATTGTTAACTGATTGTATTAAATACTGGACAGGGAAAAACATTTTTCGCCTCCTATTGCCTCCTATCGGCAGATACTACAGCTTTCGAGGCTGGAATTTTGCAGACAAAAATGGCATCGCCCATAACAATCAGGAACTTATTGCCTGGATAGCGTCCTCCGCCTAAATTTCAATGAGAGCCTCGGTCTCGGCATCATCCTAGGTCGCACCATACTCTTTTGATGCTATTTATTGTCAATAGGCGAAGAAGTAGTTTTTGTTGTGAACAGGGGAAGAGATCAGTGAATTTCAAAACCGGACACGCTGGAAAACCGATGAAATGAGTCACCTGCTCATGCTTTGTTATCAGAGAACCGAGCCACAACCGAGCCACAACTAGTACTAGATTTTGTACGGTTCGGTTGTCTCAGGCATGGTCCAGTTCAGTTGCGTTTCATTTATGCTCAACAGTTATCTCGGTTACTATGCTTAGACTGTTTTCTGCATGGTTTTAAAAGGCTAGTGTAAATGGTGCTCTTGAGTAGGTCCTTACAGGGAAATCAGCTTTAACTCTAATTGTGCTTACTCACCAGCTGTGTCATGGTATCCTTATCATTTAACAGTGACAGAGTTGTAGAGATCTTTGCATTCAGGGCAAAAACATAATCTTGGAGAACAGAACAAAAAAAATGAAGAAGCATGTCAGCATAGTTCAGGTTAAATGTCCAAAGAAGCAGTATTAAAAGTACCAGGTACAGTGCTAACTCCAAAAGTAAATCTTTCCTATACTTACATGGTCCTCGGTCTGGTGTTGTGTTAGTAGTAGAAACAATGGATGAAGTGGTGGTTGTTGGTTGGATTATGGTTGTAGGTTGAATTATAACTGTAGTTGGTGCAACCATGGTTGTCGTCTGAGGTGGGTTAGTTGTTGTAGGAAGCACAAACATTGTCGTTGAAGCTGTGGTGGTTCCAATTGCTGTTACAGCTGGTGTTGAGTCTGTGAGCAAAACAGTGGATCACCCAATTTGTGACTTTAGGAAAGAGTGTTCTTAATCTATTAATGGCAGAAAGTTTAAAGGTTTCTACTTACAGTTTGCAACCATCACAAAAATGCATCGAAGATCAGAGTTATAGACAGAGCCGGACAAACTGTGAAAATAAGTCAGGAAAAATTATTCATTAAAAATTTATAATATATTAATATATATTAATATATGCTTTTCAACAATAAACATTAAATTATTTAATGATAAAAACATTTTATTCAGAATGAAAAAAGAAGGAAGTTTTTCTTCAAGAGAACTTCATGAGGTAATTTTTTTAACTCCATTTTTAACTATTATCTTTAAAGCAGAGCACCAGAAAGTTTTCCAGGTTTGTTTCAGTCTGGGGCCATTCTTAACTTAAAATCATGTCAGATGCTGCATAAACTATTCGTTTTCTGTTACAACCACTGCTAGAATTATATATGTCATAAATCAGAACCAGTTCTCAGACATCTACATGCTTAAATAAACATTTAAAGTAGGAAAACTTATCTATGGTTGACTTTTCCTTTCAAAACTTAATCTTGTTTAAAAATGTAAACAAGATACTCAGGGTTGAAAACCATTTTCCTGTAACTGTTTATTTTTTTAGAAGCACCCAAGTGGAATACACACACTCTTCAATAGCTTTTTCTGACCGCAAAACAAGTCTTCTCTTGATAAATTAATATAATTCAGCTCAAACACACATTTGGTAAAAGTACTTCTTTTTATTTAAAAGATTTTGTAGATATTACATAAGTAATACAATATTGATGAGATTTGATACTGACTTTGCCTGGACCACAAAGCAGATGGGGTGAGTCAGTCCTCCTTGAAGGTCAGATGGCGTCCATTGTAGGGTGAAGTTTCCAGATCCGGATTTGCTCCTGATAACGTTGTGTGGTCCACTAAACAGGAGGTTAGTAATCCTACAAACAAAGGTCACAGGTTTTATGTGATATTTTGAATAATTCCACTGTACTTTACAAGTTAAATGAGCTTCAGTGTTCATTCTCTAATTGTCTGTACTAATTTATCCTTGTAGGTTGCAGATGGAAGATGGTGCCTATCTCCACCTGTCATTAGACAAGTTGGAGTGTAACCAGTACTAGTTTAGCTATGCAGACCGATATAACAAGGCACATTGTTCTAGTAAAGAGCTGAAATTCAAAGGTGAGACTAAAACGTCAGCCTCATCAGGCAGGAACCAATCAAATATCATGTAAATTTGTACTCGTGCAATATATCAAATCATTGAAAAAAAATTTCCAGTGAACAATTTTTTCCAGTTTTATGTAAGAAATGTGAGGATATAAGTTGTGCTCTCAAGTACATTCTTAATTGTAATTGCAACATTGCTCTGTTGCGGTCACCAGCTTGTTGTTATGCAAGGGTAATTATGGGTAATTCTGCCACTGAGTCACACATCGTAAAGTCCTGCCTCCTGCGCTGTGATTTGTTCATTCAATCACAGTCAACAGCGGCACAAAGATTATACTTTAGTCTGGCTGAGCAGGCTAATCCACTATTGTCATTACAATGTCACAAGTACAGAGCAACGAAATGAACTCTGCATTTAATCCATCCCCATCCCCACCAGAGCAGTCTGGGGTTAAGGGTCTTGCTCAGGGACCCAGAGTGGCAGTCCGTTGGAGTGAGTGGGACTTGGACTCAGAACCTCTGAGACCTAAGCGCAATGCTCTAACCACTAGGCCACCAGTGCACCCTTCTTCCACTGTTTAACCATGCAGACTTTACCATCTTAGAAGTAGATCTTAACACTGCTGAACTGAATGAAATTAAAATAATGAAACTTGTTTAAGGGACACTGCAATACTTTAATTGTCCCTATAGTCCTGTAACTCTTGTGTTTATTTTCATCTCGGCCACAATCTCCACAGACTCGTCTAACCAGAACCAGTTTTTTTAACAGGTTTTGTTTGTATTCACACTCAGGCTCTTTTAAACAAGTTTTCCTTTCACTTACAGAGACTGTGTTGCTTCTGCCCTGATGGGGATTTCCAGGGTCTGATTGATGGTGGTGCTGATTTGGGCCCCATTATCTGGAGTTGGAGGCAGGAATCTGGGCAGATAGATACCTTCAGTGCAGGACGGTGCAGCAGGATCCACTGCAAGGACAAAACAAAACGGCACATTTATAAAACACAGGAAAAGAATAATTCCTCAGGGTGTTAGCTTTAAAGATCATTGCGTAAATCTGTGTGCAGCTTGTCTCAAACATGTCAAAATGTGGGAGCCTGGCATTTTATCTCTTTATATTTGTGTGTCTTTCTGTGTAAGATAAAGATCAAACTTGGTTTTTTAAACCAACCCATTTTTTGTTTTTTTTTGTTAAACAGATATAAAATTTGTTAATACGAGCCTTTAAAAACAAACTGGACAGGTATCTTGCTGAACACTTCTCCTGGGTTCTTCATCTCCTGCACACCATTTCCTGCAGTCACAGTAATGGTCTGTGCAGCAAAATCCTCCATCATGAGCTGTACTGCATATGAACCTTCATCGCTGCTGCTGGTGGGGCTGAATGCCAGAGCACATGACTGAAACAGAAGAAAGGGACAAAATATTTTCAGTAACTGAAACCACCAATGTCGTGTTTAAAGAGTCCTTTCCCATTTTTTTTTATTCATTCTAGTTATATTGATCATGAATTAAGTAATTCTGATAATATTTAAGTGTTTTTGATGTTTTTTGAGGCCATTAACAGTCTTAAGCTTTTGTCAAAATGTTTCCTTTTCTTGTCACATGTGTTGGTGTATTGGAAATACCATGTATTAAGTAAAAGAAGGAGAATTTTTGGAGAATCAAGTCTTTTGACATCTTCACTGTTTCTATTCTTCTTTAATGTACTCCCACCTCTGCAGGTTTGATAATATTATACTTAAAGGATCATTTGATTGGGAATTGGATTTAAATGCTGTATGAGAGAGAACTACTAAGTGACTAGATAATAGAGAAATTAATCAAAAGTCTTTCTTTTTAAAGCATCCTGCAGCAAAGCATTAGCCTAAGTAATGTTGGGTCATTAATGCAAAATTGGGGTCATAGTTGAAATGTCTTGACAGCAGTTGCTTAGGAAAACATAGCCGGAAGATATGAAGTATTAGCGGAGTAAAAGTTCCCCTGTCAACCTTGGCAGGTCCTTTGTTGGTAACCAACAGGTCAGTGCGGGTAATATAATTCAACACAATGATGTTGTCAGTGAGGTAAAAACTCTAAGCTACCAGAATGTAAAGCAGCTGCAATGCCTATGGGTGGAGGAACATTTAGACCCCCCCAGAAAGAGCGGAACCTATCTGGCGGCTGAAATTTGCAGGGACTTTGGGCTGGCTTTGGACTGACGGAGAGATTTTAAACTGCTACTACTGTGCTTAAACTAAGAATTTATTTCAGACTGGTTTTAAAAGAATGTATTTTAAGCTATACACTAGCTTTTAAAATATTTTAATGAATCAACTAAAAGAAAAGTTGTTTTTTATTGAATTCTATATTAAATAACGCTGCAAATTCCCTGTTTTTTCATCCTCAGGGGTTTGATATAAACAATATTAAATATTGGCTATTAACTGTTGTTACTACAGACCTAAATCAGGTGTTACTTACTGAAGAAAGGTTGAGGACAGGCGGTGGAGTGCAGATGTCACACTCTGATAGGTTATTCTCGGCATATCTGCATCTCACCTCATCTCCATCTGGGTCAAATGCCAACAAGCTAAAATTTTTCTTACAGTTTGAAGGAACTCTGGAACAACAAGACCAACAAATCAGTTTTAAACCCACACATACTCATGCTTTAAAAGAAAGGGTTTACACGCTCTAGTTCTTATTTTCTCATCTGACTGGTTCTACAACTTTTTTATTTTCCCACACCACATCAGCTCTTTGTAAAGATGTTTGTCTTTTAAGGATTAAATTAACTTTGACATTAATTTAAGCCCAAAGGAGTAGAATAAATCTTTCCCAATTTGCTGTGTACAAACTTCTTAGGTTATGTATGGAAAGTATATTGCATTGCCAAATCAGAAGGAATTATAGCCCTACTTTTGCAAGTTAAAACCCCAAAGTTGTCATTTAAAAGTTAAATCTGATGGCTGAAAATCGAGGAGCTTTGCATACAGTTAATGCCACAATTATTCATACTTCTGACAGATTCAGGTATAGAGTTATCAAAAGAGCTTACAAGCAATTATAAGAGCAATTTTGATTGCTCTAATAATAATTTTTATTGATAAATGTACAATTTGAAAAAAATCGATTTAATATTCGTTAGTTTTAACTGTATATAAGTAAAGAACACACACACAAAAAAAGAAGACACTAATAACAATGTTTTTAATAAGAGAAAAACAGAAACTACCTCAGAACAGGAAGGACTGTGGTCAGAGGTGATGTGTTGGGTTTTCCTGTATCAGAGCGGATTCTGCCCTCATCCTGCATTCTGACTCTGAATGCACTAATCCCATTTCTGTTGTCTGTCCAGTTTCCACCTGTAAACCTATGGTGAGACCAAAAAAAGTTTTCATATGCTGCTGTTTGGCACTTCAGAAGCAGAAATAGAGTGGAATTAAGATTCCAATTGTTGTTTTAAATACACATTTAAAAAGATCATTCCTAAAAGTTTCAAATGAGAAAATGACTGAATATATGTTGATATAATTATGTGGTGAACTCACCCAAATGGACTGAGCTGGCTTCCATAATTCACCGTGGTATAGATTCTTTCTTTCTGACACCATTCACCACCAATTTCCTGAATTTTGTTCAAGATAACCCCTGGATTATTACAGTTGCCTCCACAAGCCTGTGCATCAACCTCTGCACATGTGCTGAAGCTGTACACGTAGCGAATCACTGTCTGTAGAGTTAAAATAAGAGCATGTTTATTATATGTATCAGTTACAAAAGCAAGGTATAAAAAGCATTAAACTCACTGGGTATCCCCCCGCCTGAAGGTCTTTAGTAGAGTAGCTGTAAACGAAGCCATAATAAGCAGCATGTGAACCGCTGATCAGGAGCAGCAGCAGCACAGAAGACAACATGGTGCCTAACCCAATGCCTCCACATACAGACAGGGCACTGTTAAAAACCATAGCATTTATGCTTGGAGAGACTGTCT